CTATATCTATATCTATATCTATATCTATATCTATATCTATATCTATACTATTATATAAAATTGATTATATGGAGTACGTTTGTAACGACTTATTTCTCAAAGTACTAAACCGATTTTAATATTTTTTTTTTAAACGAAGCATTTGTAAAAAGACGCAGAGTGGCATACTTATATTTTTTATTCTTGGAAGATAAGCACCATTTTTTTGGTTGTAAAGTTACAAAAAATTACAAAGACGTACAAGCATAAGCCTATTTGGTTGCCAAATACAGCGCATAGCTACGCGAAAAATCTGTACATCAGTGCCGATCAAACACGAGCTCACAAAGGCAAAAGAGATGTGTATGAGCGACGTGACTCCGCTATACCACATACATACACACATAAACGTGTCTGAACTAAACAGCGATCATGATGCAATAATACAAGGTGTTATCAGTTGGCAACTTCTCGCTCTAATTCCGCCATATTGACTACCTTACGTGAAACAGTGTTACTTCTTTCACTATTCTTTGCCCATTAATATAGTTGAATGCTTTTTATTTTTTCTCAGTATACACACTTTGTTTTCTTAAAATGGTATTTTATCTTATTTTATTTCATTTCATAACGAATATACTATAAAAAAGCAAATTTTGTTAAGGAAAAAAGTTGTGAAATTTTATATTTTTCCCCCATATGGGGATTCATTTCTTCCCGTTTTTCTTCTCATTCTACTGAGCTAAGGTAGTGTCAAATCGAGCTGTCACAACTGATACCACCTTGTATTATTGCATCATGAACAGCGATCACTGATTGAACATGCTAAATACATACATATGTATGTGTGTACACATTTATAACCGAAAGGAAAAGCATCGCTTCGAAGTCATCGCTGACGTCATAAAATACTTTTGTTTACATTCCCTGTTGCCAACTTCATGCTTTTCGCACCAAATTTAGTGGGTATTCAAAACGCGAACATTTTTGAGTTTGGTGCTTGGCCCGTTTTTGGTGCTTTTGTTTTTAGTTTGAAGACACCAAATTAGAAAATCTTAAAAAAATGGAATCAAAATTTATAGCAATCGTAAGTGTGGTAAGCAACTTTACAAAAATTTAAACTAAATCATGGCACAGTGACAATCATAAGCGACAACAAAATATGTGGCAGCACCTTCAATCATGCCAGAAGAAATCAACCGTCGTGCAAGAAACATTGATTTTTATTAATTTGAATCGGCATCCTTACAGTAAAATTATGTATGCATATAAAGTCTATAAAATACACCAATACAAATTTGGTGCTTTTTCAAATTCAAAACTTGGCAATACTGCCTTTTGTCCGATGCTTCCTCTTTTTCTTGTCGAGTTCGTCTTGCTCTCTCATTCTGGTATTTATTGACGTCACGGCCAGTTGCTCTCAGCTCGATTGGCGCAATCTTGTATTCTATCATTCTTGATGTGCAGTATGTGGTTGACACATAGGGATGCAAACGATGCATCGATATTTTTGAAACATCGATAATATCGGTTCAAAATTCGATGTTTGCCATCGATGTTTACAATTTCCTAAAATCGCTAAATTGTCGATACATCGATGCCGGTTTCAGCGATGTTTTAACATCGAATTCCTATCCACATCCACATCCTAAAACTTTTTGACTGGCCATGAATTTTAATATTTATTCTTTTAAAAGGAAAATCCAGAAATTTCGAGTTTACTCTTATCTTTCGATATTAAAAAAGCATACTTAGTCATTAAAAAAGGACCGGGATCCCGTTGAAATTTCAACGAAATTGGGCCTTGGAACTTTAGGCTCAGCGAACTTACGACGGCATGCATTTCTATTCTATTTATAGGGAAGGAATGGTAAATAAATAAAGGCAATAATTGAATTACAGAGAGTTGAAAAGTATTAAATTTTAATAACAAATTTCGAAACATCGGAAACCATCGATATATCGATGTATTTCTGGCGATGTGTTTTAGCATCGATGTTCATTTTTCCGATGCATCGAAACATCGATGTATCGATGTTACTCCCCAAAATTTGCATCCCTATTGACACAACAAACTAATCATGTGTATGTATGTATCCAAGTATGTCCATACACAGAATTCAAAACAAACGAAACATTTCACGAATGATTCGTCCAAAGACACAAACTTTGCAAAGAAAAAAGAGTGCAAACAAAACGATTTCTGTTTCGCTCATTGACGAGCATTGGTAGATCGTTTTTCGTACAGATAAAGAGTGTAGTCAGCTATGCCCACGTGTATGCTTCGTATATGTATACTAGCAATTACCCGACGTGCTTCGCTGTGCCTTAAATGTATTTTTGTGTTGTAACTCTCCCCCTAAGCTCTTATGGCCCCATTTACAAAATATTTTTAAAGAACTTTATGAAGTTAGATTTAAAAAAAATCGATCTATGAAGCATTGTTTATTTTTTTTTT